GGGAGGCTGAGGCAGGAGGATCGCTTGAGCCCAGGAGTTTGAGGTTGCTGTGAGCTAGGCTGACGCCACTGCACTCTAGCCCAGGCAACAGAGTGAGACTCTGTCTCAAAAAAAAAAAACAAAATCTACATTGATTCCAGGGCCACCAGCCAAGGGGTGTAGGCCGCTTCTAGAAGCTAAAAACGGCAAGGAAAGAGATTCTCCCCTAAAGCCTCCAGAAAGGAACAAGGCCCCAAGTGGCCCCTTGATTTTAAGACTTCTGACCTTGAGAACCGTAAGATCGTAAATGTGTGTTGTTTTAAGCCACGAAATTTGCCAGGATGTGTTACAACAGCCGGAAGAACTCGCACAGTTTCAGGAGCACACGCTCTGCAGCCAGGCACGCACCAGGGTCGTGGCCAAGGTCACCGCAGGGGCTTGGGCAAGTGGATGAAGTCTCTGTTTCCTCATCTGTAAAACAGGGTAATAGCAACACCTACAGCCTGTGGGGCAAACAAGGTAAAATGTGTAAAATAGGTAAGATGCCACCGCTGGGTGTCCCATAGGTGTTTGCTGTCATAAGCATGTATTGGTGCCTTATATATCATAATTTTGTCGCAGGAATATAAAGATAAGTTTCAAAAAAATGTCCCCAGGGTCACGCCTGTCATCCCAGCTCTTTGGGAGGCTGAGGTGGGAGGATGGCTTGAGGTCAGGAGTTGGAGACCAGCCTGGGCAACATAGCAAGACCCCATCTTTAATTAAAATTTAAAAATATATATTAAATAAATATACAGGGCTGGGCATGGTGGCTCATGCCTGTAATCCCAGCACTCTGGGAGGCTGAGGCGGGCGGATTGCTAGAGGTCAGGAGTTCAAAACCAGCCTGAGCAAGAGCGAGACCCGTCTCTACTATAAATAGAAAGAAATTTATAGAAAAAATTAGCCGGGCATGGTGGCGCATGCCTGTAGTCCCAGCTACTCGGGAGGCTGAGGCAGGAGGATCGCTTGAGCCCAGGAGTTTGAGGTTGCTGTGAGCTAGGCTGACGCCACTGCACTCTAGCCCAGGCAACAGAGTGAGACTCTGTCTCAAAAAACAAACAAACAAACAAAAAAAAAAAAAACAGAAAAAACAAAATCTACATTGATTCCAGGAATGGGCCACCAGCCAAGGGGTGCAGGCCGCTTCTAGAAGCTAAAAAAGGCAAGGAAATAGATTCTCCCCTAAAGCCTCCAGAAAGGAACAAGGCCCCAAGTGGCACCTTGATTTTAAGACTTCTGACCTTGAGAACCGTAAGATCGTAAATGTGTGTTGTTTTAAGCCACGAAATTTGCCGGGATGTGTTACAACAGCGGGAAGAACTCGCACAGTTTCAGGAGCACACGCTCTGGAGCCAGGCACGCACCAGGGTCGTGGCCAAGGTCACCGCAGGGGCTTGGGCAAGTGGATGAAGTCTCCGTTTCCTCATCTGTAAAACAGGGTAATAGCAACACCTACAGCCTGTGGGGCAAACAAGTTAAAATGTGTAAAATAGGTAAGATGCCACCGCTGGGTGTCCCATAGGTGTTTGCTGTCATAAGCATGTATTGGTGCCTTATATATCATAATTTTGTCGCAGGAATATAAAGATAAGTTTCAAAAAAATGTCCCCAGGGTCATGCCTGTCATCCCAGCTCTTTGGGAGGCTGAGGTGGGAGGATGGCTTGAGGTCAGGAGTTAGAGACCAGCCTGGGCAACATAGCAAGACCCCATCTTTAATTAAAATTTAAAAATATATATTAAATAAATATACAGGGCTGGGCATGGTGGCTCATGCCTGTAATCCCAGCACTCTGGGAGACTGAGGCAGGCGGATTGCTCAAGGTCAGGAGTTTGAAACCAGCCTGAGCAAGAGCAAGACCCCGTCTCTACTCTAAAAAAAAAAAAATAGAAAGAAATTAATTGGCCAATATATATAGAAAAAATTAGCCGGGCATGGTGGTGCATGCCTGTAGTCCCAGCTACTTGGGAGGCCGAGGCGGGAGGATCGCTTGAGCCCAGGAGTTTGAGGTTGCTGTGAGCTAGGCTGACGCCACGGCACTCACTCTAACCTGGGCAACAAAGTGAGACTCTGTCTCAAAAAAAATAAAAATAATAAAATAAATAAATAAATACACAGTTCAAACACAGGCAGTGCTCAGTGTGTGCAGGGTGCCAGGCTGAGCATTCTCCTTGCCTGGTGCCACCGGATTCTCCAAGACTTGCAAGGAGGTCCTGTGCCTGTCCATCTGCACTTGACAGACTAAGAACTGAGGCTGGGAGAAGAGAACGGGTCTTGCCCGGGACCCCTCCCCCAAACCTCCCCCCCAAAAAACAGAGCTGGAATCCAAGCCCCTGCTCCCTGTCTTCCCAGGGTGGGGGTCCCCTGTGCCCAGGCCTCTGCTGAGCGCATGTGGGGGAGGGGAGGGGGGGAGCCACTGTCTCTGGCAGATTGATTCAGCCGGGTCAAGGTTGCCTGCAGGTTAATCATTAATAGGGTGGGAGAATGGCTGGCCCGGCCTGGCTGTGAGCAAGTTCCGAAAAGGCGGGCGCCCCAATCTGGCACTAGGGCATAGGGGATTTGGGGGGTTCCCTGCTGCTCCCACCTCTGTGGAGGAAAGGGAGGGTGTGGAGCAAGTGAAGCCAGGCAGGTGTGACATGGGGGCGCCGGGGGTCCCCCTCCCCAGAAATCATCCCCACTTCCTTCCCTTTATTTCCTGCCTGCGCCCCAGCTAGGGCTGCCAGACAATATATTAAGACAAGATGCCTGGTGCAATCTGAATTTCAGATTAAGTAGCAGATACTTTTTCGGACCATGTGTATTCCAGATACCCCACTAAAGGGTGGCCCAGGTGGCCCCGTGCATGCTCTCTCTCCCCCTCTCTCTCCCTCGATGCCCTGAACACTGGGTGGGTGGGCCAGCGACCTGGAAGTCCCCCCCAAAGCTCCTTCTCGCCCTCATGCTGCCTTCTCTCATGCACCTCCCCCCCCCAGACCTCTGCACGCGTCCCCCAGGAAACCGGCACCAGGGCCGAAGAATTCCCCCTCTCACCGCCCTCCTTCCCAACAAGCCCCGCTCCACTCCGGCCTCCTCCCCTCTCTAGGGTCACTTCCTAGATGGCCCGGGAGGCTTCCCAGACGCCCAACACAACAGGCACAAGCACGGATGACAGCAGCCACCGCTTATTGATCCTCCTCCCTGAGCCAGGGGGCTTCTAGGAATGTTGTGCCATTTAAATGTGACATCAGCCAGAGTGAACATCAGTCCCATTGCTCAGATGGAGTTAACTGAGGCTCCGCGCAAAGAGGAACCGAGCCCTGCAGCAAGACAGAGGCCAGACGGGAATTTCCTTCTCAAGGTCATCAAACCGCCAGAGCCTCCGAAATGCTTAACACCACCAGAATGAAACCAGGAAACAGGGTGGCTTGGGAAGGGGGCAGAGGGGAATCAAAGAAAGTTTTGGGGACAGCTGAGGGCAGCCAATGTCAAAAGCTCAGCCCCAGTTCTGGAGAACAAGCAGGTGTTTGCTTTCTCCCTCCTCCTCCTGTCCCCCTAGAGAGAGTGTTGCAATCAATGCAGACGGGCCAGGTTTTCTCTCATTCTCCCGCCTCCCCCTCCCCCTGGCCAGGCCAGGAAAAGAGTGTGGCTTACAGGAAATCAGAGCGAATGCCCCGTTAACCCCTTGATCGGGTTTTTTTGGAAACCACCCGTCCTGGGATCGGGGCCTCTACCCACACACCGTTCTCCTGGCCTTAACCGTCCACCTCCTATGCC